TTGCTGACAGCAAACAGTCCTCCTGCCATAGTGGGTGACCTGATGGGGTCAATTCTTGATGTTCGCCTGTCCCTTTCATGTTTGGGGACAGAATGCCACTGGAATGTTAAACGCCAGTCAAACCCACCAATCATGGGCTCCCCAGTCTGCATGTAGAATTCAAAAGTGTTCCAATCAATAGTATCAATGACAGGGCATACAATTGCTGTTTCATCTCTACTAATCCTTTCCAAAAGTGGTTCCAACCAACCAGTGTTACACTCACAGTGGCAATCCAGAAACGTGAGGACATCCCCAGTGGCAAAAGTGGCCCCAAAAGTGGCCCCAAGGAGGGGGCCCCGGACCAGCCCCTCTCTCTTATTGGTTCTAATCAAGCGAACTCTTTCGAGATTGCTGATGTAAGTTTCAAGTTGTGTCTTCAAATAAAGTCTGTCACTCAAGTCATCGACCAAGATGATCTCCTTCAAGAGCACTGCAGGAGAAGTTTCTAAAACACTGTGAATGGTTCGAAGCAGAGTGGACCAGGCTTCATTATAGAAGGCGATGATAACGGAGGTGGTGGGAAGCGACCTGTAGTGGAACTTCTTCGATTTACACTCAGGCATTCTTTTATCCTCTATGTGGCGGTGCAGGGAGATCCTATCACTGACATAAATATTAATGGCATATCTCTCAATGAGTTCTTCTTGCTGCTTCAATTCACCCTCGTTGAGCTGGAGTCTGCTCGCTTTCCCCCATTCTCCAAGAGCTTGGGAATCTGCAGGGGGCTTTATATAAAGAGGCTGGGACAAATCCTCCCCCCTTGTCTCAAGGTCTGAGAGCCGCCTTGGCCCCAGCTCCCTGGCATGGCCGGCTCCTAGGGAGGCATACAAACTGGAGACTGAGAGCTCCACCAGAATATAAGCCAGTGTTAAAAGCGCCAGCAGTAGGCAGCTCTTGCCTGCCCAGGTCCACCTCACGGCCATCTGGATCCTCAAGGGTCGTGGGTAGACACGGCCACCCAGCCAGCACTCGGGAGAAGTGTTGCGGATCCTGCAGCTTGAGTTCCCGGCTCAGGTAGGGGCGAACTTCCAACCAGGTCCCCCCTCCTTTCATGTAGGCACTCAGCTCTTTCCCGGATACCTGAGTTTCCCGGGGGTCACTTGAGACCCCTCGCTGCTCCTTCGCCTCCGGTGCAGCTCAACTAGTCGGTCCCCACTTCCTCCTGCTCCTCTCAGAACTTTTCACAAACTCTCCAGCCAATAAAACACCCTCCCCAGGCAGAACACACACCCCTACCCCTCCCACTCACTGCT